GGGATGCTGGCATGGTAGACGGTGACTTCAACTGCTGTGGCCACAACATACTTCAGAACGCGGTTTATCATTGGAGCCCCTCAAAGCAGTTTATATCAGGTGTTGAAATTCTTAAAATATTTCAGATTTCACCAATTTCCTTCCTTCCTTCCTCCCGCCCGCCCTCCCTCCCTTCCTTCCTTCCTTCCTTCCTTCCTTTCTTTATTTGACAGGTAGAGTTATAGGCAGTGAGAGAGAGAGAACAGTCTTCCTTCCATTGATTCACCCCTCCAAATGGCCACTACGGCCAGCGCACAGCGCCGATCCGAAGCCAGGAGCCAGGTGCTTCCTCCTGGTCTCCCATGGGGTGCAGGGCCCAAGGACTTGGGCCATCCTCCACTGCCTTCCCGGGCCACAGCAGAGAGCTGGACTGGAAGAGGAGCAACCGGACTAGAACCTGGTGCCCACAGGGGATGCCAGCACCGCAGGCGGAGGATTAACCTAGTGAGCCATGGCGCCGGCCCCTCATCAAATTTCTAACAACTGTGACCCTACATAAATATTATAATTATTGCATACCTAGCTGTATTTTAAAGCATTTTACAAAAATTCAAACTATGTATTTACATAATTCTATTGAATCCCATTTATCTTTATTTTACTGTTACAGAACCTGAACCTTTGAGAGTTTAAGTAATTTACCCCAAATGTAATTCAAATTATACTGTCAGAGCCAGGATTGTAGCTTCAATTTTGTAACTCCAAATGTTGTCTTCCCAGTCCACTGGTTTTAAAGTTAGCTATAATATATCTTTTTTTAGCATGAGTGAAATTTTTGGAGATTGCAAGTTAGTAATGAAATGAGTATTTCTCATTCTGAGTGAGAATTGCCTTTTATTTCCTTTACTGCTTGGATAATCGAACAGAAGGTTTTGTCCTTTTCCTAAGATGGGTGAGTATGCAAGTCACTGAAGGTAGCCTGTACCTTTAGGAGAGAGTTTGTGTGCAAATTATTTGGAATTCATTTGTGTGGGAGATTTATCGCATCTCATTTACTTATTCAGTCATTTATATCTGCATGAACTCAAGGACATTTATTTTATACTTTGAGTTGTAATCCAGTATGAGGTTATTTATTTTGTTGCTCAAATTGTTTTGGCCATTGAGTATCCCTTTGACATGTCTCCATTTTTTTTTTGTTTGTTTGTTTCTTGAGTACTTTTTTTCTTCCTGGACCTCTACATGCTTCAGGCACATTTTGTATATTCCTACCCCAATCTTAGACTCAAACATTCTCATAAGAGCCCTGGTTTCTTTTGTTGTAAAAAGAAACCTGGCATCCAGATCTACCATCCACTTATTTGTTTGATCCTAGTATATATGTATAGTGGTTTCAGAATTGTTACTCTACAGTCCAGAAGAAACAGCTTTACCAACTAGAGAATGGTGTTTCCGTACCATTTCTTTTGTCTTTAGTCTTATAGTTTCCAGTTGAAAAGTCATTTTTCAAAGTTATATAGGCCAGCTTTTTTTCCTCTACCCCTCAGTGAGATTATGATATATATATTTGAAACATAATTAGATTCCTTTGTCACAGCCTGCCCCTTCCGCTTGTATCCTGGTTAAATATTTTTTTTTAATTGTGCGTATTAAGGATCACTTTTACTGCTGTAAGGCATAATGTAGTATATGAATGGCCAGGATTAAATGTTATCTTTTTCTTCTTCCTCAGAGGAAGAGAACATGCTTCTTTTCCAAAGTTCCTTGGCTTCTGTAATAAAACAGTCTAGTTCCCCATGCTTTACAGCTGTGATCTTGCCTAGCTTCCTGTTGGTTTTGTTGATTCTTCCGCTCCCTGGTGGGCACCGTCATCTCTGCATTTGTACTAAGCCATAGCATTTTACCTTTTTCCTTAACTTAAAGACATGGTTGGGGCAAGCACTGTGGTGTAGTGGGCACTGTCTGCAGCACTAGCATCCCATTTGGGCCCTGGTTTGAGTCCTAGAAGCTCCACTTCCTGCCCAGCTCCCTGCTAATACACCTGGGAAAGCAGCAGAAGATGGCCCAAGAACCCTGCACCCATGTGGGAGACCTGGAAGAAGCTCCTGGCTCTTGGCTTTGGCCTGGCCCTGGCCTGGCTGAGCCCCAGCCGTTGGGGCTATTTGGATAGTGAACCAACTGATGAAAGTTCTCTGTCTCTCCCTCTGTCTGTAACTCTGCCTTTCAAATAAATAAAAATAAATCTTACAAACAAAAAAAGTATGGTTAATGCATAGTAAGTCTAGGCTCCTTTCAATACTTGTCTGTTTATTTTTCTAAATTCTTCTTTATTCTTATCCATGCTATCCTTCCCTTATCAACTTTAGTTGCTTTTGCCAGTATAGAACTAAAAAACAGCTTTACTGGCATTTTGATTAGAATTATATTATTTATTAATTATTTTGGGAATAATTTTTATCTGTATAGTCTGAAATTTCCTGCTGAGGAGCCATCAGCATGTATCAGTTATCTGTAGATATCTGTGCATTCCTAGTTTTTCTTTTCCATAAAAAGTACACATATTTATGGGATACCATGTGGTGTTTCAGTATATGTACACAGTGTGATACATAATCAGGATAAATATATCTGTCCCCTCAAACATTTAGGGGCCGGCGCTGTGGCACAACGCATTAATGCCCTAACCTGAAGCACTGGCATCCCATATGGGCCCGTTTCTAGTCCTGGCTGCTCCTCTTCCAGTCCAGCTCTCTGTTATGGCCTGGGAAAGCAGTGGAAGATGGCACAAGTCCTTGGGCCCCTGCACCTGCGTGGGAGACCAGGAGGAAGCACCTGGCTCCTGGCTTCGGATCGGCGCTGTGTGCTGGCCGTAGTAGGCATTTGGGGGGTGAACCAACGGAAGGAAGACCTTTCTCTCTGTCTCTCTCCCTCACTGTCTAACTCTATCTTTCAAAAAAAAAAAAAAAAAAAAAGGTGGAAGCAGATGTCTCTCATTCCTAGTTTTGCCTGTCCTTTTTATCTATAAATCTATAAAGTTAATACATAAAATAAAGGTCATGTCTGACCAGTCTCTGAATAATCTGAATAAACTAGTTAGAATAAGGCTCATTTTCTCACTACTCTCTGAAATCCTCTTTCTGTGATTTGCGCTTTTAAAATATGACTATCTTGCCATTTGGTTGTAGGTGCTTGTAAAATTTGAGATTTTTTTAAAAAGATTTTTGGAGAATTTTTTGTTTATTTATTACTCTTCTCAACAGTGCCTTCACAATTTACCTTAGAGCTTATCCTTCTATTAAGAGCTTAGAATTGACTGTTTGGGTAGTAAAGTTAAGGAAATCACCTCTCAGTATTATCTTTTGCTGTGCTTTTCAAGTAGATGTTATTTACTTAATTTTTAATATTATCAGAACATTGAGTTTATTTGTAACAAATGCAATCCTTAAGTTAACTTATAAGTTCGTTATAAATTCTATGTAACAGTTTGGTTTCTTTGAAGCACACTTTATTCTTTAGAAATACAGTTTGCATTCACTATTAGACCATAGTCTGAAGTTAGAAAGGAGTTTTAAAATTGCCTTTATGTCATTAGTTGAATATAGGGAAGTAATGCTAGAGATAAAACTATTTCCCTTGTGGACATTTAGAAATAAAATCAAATTTATTAATACTTAGGTAAATCCTGCTTAAACAAATCTTTGGTGCTGTGTCCTTCTCAGATCTTGGCTTTGGTGGTACCTTTCAACTCCTGACATTCCTCCTTGCCCCCCAAGTTAGAGAAGAGAAAATGAGATTGAGTGAATAGAATTGGTGTGTAAGAATACTAAAGAGCTGAAACTACTGTTCAGCCTAGTGGTTAAGATTCCTGAGTCCCAGGGCCAGTGCTGTGGTGTACTAGGTTAAGCCTCTGCCCACAGTGGCAGCATCCCATATGGGCGCCTGTTTGAATTCCTGCTCCACTTCTGATCCAGCTCCCTGATAAAGGCCTGAGAAAGCAGTGGAAGATGGCCCAAATACTTGGGCCTCCTGTACCCAAGTGGGAGACCCTGGAAGAATTTCCTGGCTTTGGATCGGCCCAGCTCTGGCCATTGTGGCCATTTAGGGAGTGAACCAGCAGATGGAAGACCTCTCTCTGTTCGTCTCTGCACCCTCCCCTCCCCCCCCCCAATAACTCTGCCTTTCAAATAAATAAGTAAATCTTAAAAAAAAAAAAAAATTCCTGAGTCCCTCAAGTTCTTGGGTTCATTCTTGGCTTGGTACCTGACTCCAGCTTCCTGCTAATGCACACCCTGGGAGGCACAGTGATGGTTGGGTCCCTGCTACCATTATGGGAGACCTGGATAGTGTTCCTGGTCCCAGCTTTGGACTTATGGCCCAGCCCCTGCCCAGCCCAGGTGTTGCAGATGTTTGGGGGAGTCACTCAGTGATGGTCACTCTCTCTGACTTTCTGTCTCTGCCTCTCTAAACAAACAAACTAAACTAAGTATACTGGGATCCATTAGAATTTTTTCTTTATTTGCTAGAGAATTTTAAACTATGAGATGTCTCTTTAAATTGTTTATTTTTTAATATTTTGTTAAATTCATATTGGAATGTTTGCTTTTTTATACTTTACTTACCTTTTAAAAATTACTTATTTTTATGAAAGCAAGAGAGGGAGAGAGAACTTCTATCAGTTGATTCATTTCCCCAAATGCCTGCAACAGTCAGGGCTGGGCCAGGCTGAAGCCAGGATCCTGGCACTCAGACCAGGTCTCCTGTGTGGGTGCCAGGGACCCAGTTGCTTCAGCTGTTACCTGCTGCCTTCCAGGGTACACGTTAGCTGGAAGCTGGAATTGCAAGCAAAGCTGGCACTCAAGCATAGGTGCCATGCGCATCAGTATGGGATGCGACTCCAATATGAGATGCAGGTGTCCCTGGTGGCATCTTAACAGTTGCTCAGAACAGCTACCTAGGAATATTTGCTTTTTAAGCCCAAGAAATTGAAGCGGTCTTGTTGCTTGGTTTTTATTCTTCCATAGATTCTTCTGAAAACTACATTCAAACAAAGACGTTTGAGGGCTTCTGTGCATTACATCTTGCTGCTAGTCAAGGACACTGGAAGATTGTACAGATTCTTATAGAAGCTGGGGCAGATCCTAATGCAACTACTTTAGAAGAAACTACACCATTGTTTTTAGGTAATGTATGCTTTTTGTGGTACAAATGCGATTTATTTATTTATTTTTAAAGAAATTAAGCTTAATTTTTTTTGAGATGTATTTATAGTATGCTCTTTGGGCAAAAATTATACCACCACTTCTTTGATTCTGAAACTGAAAAGATATTTTTAAAGGTTTCCTTCTTGTTTTCTACCTTCAAGTAGTAGCATCTGGGACTTTAAATGTTTATTTAAAGTTACAAAATCTGTTCTGAATTTAGTCGCTGTCGTTATTCTCACTGTAGTTCTGAAGACTAGGTAGTACTGAAATTGTGGTAGTAGTTATGTACAAGGTTAACTGTAAATGTTTTATGTTTGCCTTTTCTTTTTCTTAGTATCAAGACATTAAGAAGCTTTTATGGAAGAAATCACCTGCTAATCTCTTAATACCAATTAATTTTCTGCTTGATCAGATCACTATTTAGACCTCTTCAGTTATGGACTGTTTTTTAATTCCTTTTGGTCAAAGGCCAACTTCTCAGTGGCACCTTTCCAATGACTCTCTTTTTCCCTTCTCCGTTTGTTTGATCCTGTTTGCCTTCATGGACATTTTGTCCCACAAAATTTAGTGAAACATGAGACAATTAGGAAAATAAAGCATTTGGAATAGAACCAGTATATCTGGATTGCAGTTTTAATTCTGCTATGTGTAATTTGTATGTTCATTTATTTATCAGGTGCTTCAGTTTCTTCTTCTTTTTTTTTTTAAGATTTATTTATTTGAGAGGTAGAGTTACAGTTATAGACAGAGAGAGGGAGAGACAGAGAGAAAGCTCTTCCATCTGCTGGTTCACTCCCTAAATGGCCCCAACTCCTGGAGCTGGGCTGATTCAAAGCAAGGATCCAGGAGCTTCTTCCTGGTCTCCCACATGGATACAGGGGCCCAAGCACTTGGGCCATCTTCCACTGTTTTCCCAAGCCGTTGGCAGAGAGCTGGATCAGAGGAATAGCCGCATGAACCGGTGCCCATATGGGATGCCAGCACCACAGGCTTAGCCTACTCTGCCCTAGCTCTGGCCTCCAAGTTTCCTCACTTCTAAAATGAGATTAGTAGTATCTAACTAGCCTTTATTATTGGACAGATAAAATGAGATGTCTGTGAAAGTACTTGTTTCCTTATGAACTTAAAAATACTTATTTTTAAAATATATATACAGTGGAGCCGGCGCTGTAGTGTAGTGGATAAAACTGCTGCCCACAGTGCCGGCATCCAATATGGGCACCAGTTTGAGTCCTGGTTGCTCCACTTATGAACCAGCTCTCTGCTATGCCAGTGTATTCCCTGGGAGGCAGCTAGTGATACCTCAAGTAGTTGGATCCCTCTCACCCATAAGGGAGACCTAGATTTGGATCCTGATCTTGGCCCAGGGCTGTTGCAGGCATCTAGGCAGTGAACCAGTATATAAAGAGCTCTCTCTGCCTATCTGTCTCTATCCCTCTGTATCTCAAATAATTTTTTTAATTTTTTTGACAGGCAGAGTGGACAGTGAGAGAGAGAGAGACAGAGAGAAAGGTCTTCCTTTGCTGTTGGTTCACCCTCCATTGGCCGCCTCGGCTGGCGCACTGTGGCTGGCGCACTGTGCTGATCCGATGGCAGGAGCCAGGTACTTATCCTGGTCTCCCGTGGGGTGCAGGGCCCAAGTACTTGGGCCATCCTCCACTGCCTTCCCGGGCCACAGCAGAGAGCTGGACTGGAAGAGGTGCAACCGGAACAGAATCTGGCGCCCCAACCAGGACTAGAACCCGGTGTGCTGGCGCCGCTAGGTGGAGGATTAGCCTAGTGAACCACGGCGCCGGCCCCTCAAATAAATTTTAAACAAAAACTTTAATTGGGTGAGAGGTGATGTATCTTGATTGCTGTCATTATAGAATTTCATCTTTACATCAAAAGTTATAGAAGTGTACAACAGCGGTTAGCGCTGTGGGATAGCAACTCAGGCTGCTGCCTGTGACACTAGCATCCTATGTGGATGCCATTTCACGTCCTGATTGCTCTACTTCTAATCCAAACCTAGATCATTTCCCAGTATGTGGTAGGTATTCAGTTAATTGCTTATTGAAAATGAAAGAGTGAAAGTCTCTGCAAGACCTTCCATAATTTAACTTCAAAACCGGCACTTTTTTTTTTTTTTTAAGATTTATTTGTTTGTATTGAGAGGCAGAGTTATAGACAGAGAGGGAGACAGAGGGAGAGGTCTTCCATCCACTGGTTCACTTCCTAAATGGCTGTAATGGCTGGAGCTGGGCCGATCCAAAACTAGGAGCCGGGAGCGTCTTCTGGGTCTACCATGTGTAACCCAGCACTTTGAAATGTACTTGACCATAACCTTCTTCTTTTTTGTATAAGACTTAGGAATACATTAATATTCCATGTGGCTTTTTAGAAATGCTATTTTGGTCACTTAGTTTATAGTTTCAAAATACTAGATTCTCACTTACAAAATTCAGTATTGTGCCTACTTTTATAAGTGTTTGGAAAAAATTAGAGAGAGAGTGGTTTATATTTCAGAATGTTAAGGAAGAGTTGCTAAGATAATGTAAACCAATGAGTAACTTATAATCACTTATTTTTAGTAATAGGAAGACTCAGGTAGTTTCTTTGGCAACAGATTTACTATCCTAATTCTGTTTTGAGTTGGCATTTACAATGAATAATTTGACTTAAGGAGGTAGTCTAAGCTCAAGGAGATAGGCTATATGTGTGTTTTTTTTTTTTTTTTTTGGACAGGCAGAGTGGACAGTGAGAGAGAGAAAGAGACAGAGAGAAAGGTCTTCCTTTACCATTGGTTCACCCTCCAATGGCCGCTGTGGCCTGTGTGCTGTGGCCGGAGTACTGCGCTGATCCGAAGCCAGGAGCCAGGTGCTTTTCCTGGTCTCCCATGTGGGTGCAGGGCCCAAGGACTTGGGCCATCCTCCACTGCACTCCCAGGCCACAGCAGAGAGCTGGACTGGAAGAGGGACAACCGGGACAGAATCTGGCGCCCTGACCGGGACTAGAACCCGGTGTGCCAGTGCCGCAGGCGGAGGATTAGCCTATTTAGCCGTGGTGCCGGCCTATATGTACTTTTATATACTCAAAGTAATCTGTCAGTTTCAAAATGATAGAACTGCATGAGATAGGAAAATTCTGGAACTCTCTCCTCATCTTTTTTATGTGAAAGTTGACTTTCTTGACCATCTTTTTGCTAACAGTTTAGAGTTGATGTTTTCAAAAGAAGTCTGCTCCCTTATGGCTTTTCTTTATCCTTGCCTCCTCTCCTCATTCCATCCCCTTCTGTTGTTCACTATACTCATGCATAGTAGCTATTCTAAGGACAGGTTTACTTGGAAATTAAAAAAAGTCCTTTTTTATAAATGTAGTAAATTCTGTGTGAAAATCCAGCTGAATATTTAGGAAATAGATGCTTTCTTCTTATTTGTAACAGATAAATTGGAGGTTCAGGTGCAACCCCATGGGAGTTCACAGAAAAATGTCTGTGGGACTGCATAGCATGAACTTTGGACTTTTGATTGATTGTTTTTCAGTTTTTATTCTGAATTTCTGCTTATTCTTTACATCCTTCGATGTTAAACAGAACAGTAATGTTTAATAAGAACAGAGTGTTTTATAAACAATGTTGTATGACACTGCCTGTTTCAATATTTAACTGTAAAATGTGTCATGCCATGGTTCACGTGGCAAGCATGTCCTTTAACTCTGACTCTGATGAAAGATTCCAGAGTCAAAGAAACCACCATGTGTTTCACTTTTCACTACTCTCTTTGTGGATAGTGATCATGAAACTATTTTTTGAAGTGCTAAGGATTTTGAGGTTTTGTAGTCATGTATCATAATAATAATTAAACTTTGTGGAGTTTTAGAATTTTGAACTGAAAGATTAATCATCTTCTTTAGGGTTTGTAACATAAGCATTTTTACATGAATTCTTGAAAATGGTGATTTGAGTTTTCAAGAACAAAGGTATGGAGTTCACTAATAGTTACATGTAAAAGTTTTAATTTTGTTTTCTAGTGTTTACTGTTAAAGATATTTTTATGTGTTTTTTTTTTTTTGAGAAGGAGAAACAAGCAGAGATCTCCCATCTGAGTTTTATCTTGTCTTTAAAAAATTGAAGGGTCAGATACACACACACACACACACACACACACAGAGAAATAAGGAGATCTTCTAGCTGCTAGTTCACTGTCCAGATGGTCAAAATGTCCAGTGCTAGGCCAGGCCAAAGCCAGGAGCCAGGAGCTTCATCTGGGTCCCCCACATGGGTGGTGGGGACCCAAACATCTGGGCCTTCTGTTGCTTCTTTTCCCAGGTCATTAGCAGGAAGCTGGATTGGAAGTGGAGTAGCTGCAACATGAACTGGTGCCCATTTGGGATGTTGGTGTCTTAGGTGGCAGCATTACTTGTTATGGCACAGTGCTGGCCTCTCTGATTATAAGCTCTAGATAAGAAGTAAATAACTGGACTGGCTTATTTACCTTGTGGTATTTCTTGAAATAATGAAAGATTCAATATCCTTGCCAGTCATATTACCAAAATAAAGGGTTGCAAATAATGTATGCCACCAGTTGGAGTTAGGATGGTACTTGATTGGTTCTATTGTCCTTGGTATAGATAAGGTTACACAGAATAAATTAGCAGTACTGGAAAAACAATTCCCTGTCATTGCACTGGAGTTTCTTTTCTTGTACCACCAGATGTCAGTATAACCATAGGACTAGAGAAATACTGCATCCAATAAATGGCTTATGAACATTGTTTTTTGGCTTCATAAAGGAGGGAAAATGTTTGAAATAAACTAGGAATACAGTGCAAAGATTTTACTATAGAATTATATTTACAAATGAAGTGCATAATAGAGAATAGAGTACATGTAGAACTCAAAAAATATAGACAGTTAAAAATTCATATATAATTCAAGTATACTAATAGAATCTATAGGTGATATCTGGGACTCTCAGAAATTGTCAACTTGCTGCTGT